TGGCTTTAAAAAGTTTCCCAAGCTATGCAGCTTGTAGGCTTCTGACATATTATTTTTTTTTAACTTACGAAATGAGCCTGAGTTTTCAAAGCAAGGAACTATGATCTGCTGTAAGCAGATTAGTGGGTCACTGTTAGGCACTAGTTCGGATGAAATAGTGATGGGTTCTTGGCTCTGTTCTGCTGGTCAAACTGCCAGTGCTCCTATTTGGTGGGTGTGTTTGGCAGGTGGAGTGTGCTGCCTGCAGGAGATTACATTGGTTTTGGAGCATATTGTGTTCCCACCGGTCGGTGTATCCATCTCCTGGAGGTTGAAGTGGTTCTCAGTGGGTCTTCTAACCTATGCAGGGGCTCAATTTCCAAACAACCTGGGATGAGAGCAATCCTCTGAACCTGTCAGTCAGTTCTCTGTGCTGAATATTGGATTCAACAGAGGATTTACCTTCATGGTTCCAGAGCTGATAATGTTTTAATTCTAAAATTATAATATACTGTTTCTTCCTATAATTAAATGGGTTTTCACATCACACAGCACTGGGGCACCTTGCTTTCCAATATCACAAAGGACGTTTTATATTGTGGCAGTTGTCTGCCGTAAGCTTAAAGTGCCAAGGTTTCCAAAACAGGCTTGAAGCAGAAATAAAATTTTATACCCAAGGAAGAATTACTACATGCCACATAATATTTCAAGCTAAAATAATGTTTCATCAAAGATTTAGGGAACAAGGATTAGTTTTTTAAACCTAGCTAAGTCAATGAATCTTATATCCCATATACTGCTATACATTATGTTCTGAGATGCATTTCACTATGCTAACTCAAGGCTGTTCTAGTGAGGTTGCTTCAAAGAAAAAGCTCTGAACTGAAAGGACATTTCACTGACCTAGTTTTAAAAGAACTTGTGAAACCCACCAGTACAAGGATGCCCAGCAAGGTGGTCAAAGAGTACTACACTGCCTGTGAAGTATTTAAGGAATTTTAGAATGTAAATTATGGAGTTCAATAATGATAAATGATAGAGCCTCAAATATATCCAGAAGGATTTACCTTAAAAGAAAAAAAACAAAGAATTTGTTCCAGCTGTAAGTGGATGCCATTTCAAATATCCACACTATGCTTCATTATTCCCAGAGAAGCTAAAAACCCTTCATAAATCATTTTTGACCACATCCAGGATTTTCAAAGAACTCCAGAAAAATTCGGTCTAGTATCTGGTGAACTTCAGGAGAGGCCGGGTACCCAGCTACCTTGGAGCACTTGGAAAATCCTTGTCTCTTTGAACAGCTGGATTCTGCTCAGCTGTAGCAAAATACATATATTTCATAGCTGTGAAATACTCTGTAGGATTTTAACCTTAAAAATACCCAGATGCAAGGGTAGGTGCTTAATCTGATTGCCTACTGAGTTTAATAGTACTCTGCCTATGGCATTAAATAACAGTACCTTTGTGTAACCCAGGGGTTACAGATCCCTCTTGTGTGGCATCATCAGAAGTGGGGGGTGAGAAAAACCCACCGACACAGTCCTGCTCTTCTCCCTGCACGGCAGCAGCTTGCGTGTTTAATTCCAGACATGGCCTAGACAGGTCAGCCAAGGTAGCCATCATCACATATTTACACTTATAAACTACCTTTTATCTGATAATCTCAAAGCACTTCACATCTATTAATTAAACTCTGAGGGCTTGGTAATAGATCGAGATGAATGTTTTCTGCTGTCCCTCAGGTAAAATAGCAGTTTCACTCAAACATGAGCAGCAATTGGCTTTAAACCCAGAGAATCTGTTTTTATGAGCAATCGCAGATCTCTATGTAGTAAAAAGTGTGATTACATGGGATGGACTCCGTTTGTGCTAAAATGGAAAAGGAGATTACTTTTTCATTCAAAATACCTTTACTCTAATGTATTTCTTTCTTAAACTGAAGTGAGTGTATTAGGCTATTTATTCCCAAATTGAATTCCAGCAATTGGGGTTACTGATTTTTTAGTCCCTGAAATGTATTTTTTTTTCCCGAAATGTATTTTTTTCCCTTAAATCTGTTTCAGAAAATCCTGTTCCACATATGGTCAGAATCATAATTAAAGGACATTTCTGTATATGTAACGCTTTCAAGCTGACAGAGCTAACATACTGGGCCATTATAAAATCAATCCAGTATCAGTAAAGTAACAGGAATCAACTTTTTTTTTTTTTTTTTTTTTTTTTTTTTTTTTTTTTTTTTTAAACCGTATGTTATTTCACACCTTAGAAACCAGCTCTAATTTCCATTGTCGGGAAATAGTGTCTTTTACTCAGAATTCTGATTTGAGGTGCAGGACCAATGAATAGAAACTTGTAAAGGCATAGTTTCTCCTCTGTGGGAGGCATCAGTATTTTAGACAAGAAAGAAGGTGCAGCTGTAAAGAGGTGAAATATTTTCAAATTTTCTGCCTGCATGAAAAATAACAGAAATCATATCTTAAAAATAGAGTTATATTTGAAAGCATAATTAAAGCAAAATAACATGTTCCAAGCCTCAAAGTGTCATCCCTTCTCTGTGCCTCAGTGTCCCCTTCTCTAAAACGCACGTCATGACAGGAGCCTGGTTGGTGAAACACTTCAGCACCACCTGGTAAAAAGCATCATCCAGAAGACTACTCGCTGGTTTTGAAAGTGAACATAATTGTTTCAGATAAAACGAGAGACTTCCATAGAATCACTACATCCTTCCAGTGTGAATCCTGCAACACCAAAGAGATCCTCTCTTCCCATCCCAAGACCACACAGACCAGCTGTGACCTGCTCAGCGTGAACGGTGTAGCAGTGATCATCATTTCAGCTGGTCTGTGTGTATTTCTTCTGTTTGAATGCAGAGCATTTTTCTTAATTATTTCTGACTTTTCATCCAGCGTGCTATAAGCTTCTTATGAAGAAAAGAAAATAAATAATTCAACTTCCACTTATTCCAGGAGGAGACTGGCTGTTCTAATCTATCCTTTGAGAATAAACAAGCGAGCTGTTCACATACAGCTTATTAGAGTATGACAAATAAACATGTGCATGATATTGCAATGACAATAAGGATGGGGAATACCAGAACTGTATTTTGGGCTTGAATCTGAGGCTGGGACCATTTCCAGTTCCCTCCCAAGGGCTTGAAAGTTTGGCTATGCTTTTGCCTGTAGCTGCAGCCAGAGACTGGTAACAAATGTCAGTGCAATAAGGAGTGAGGAAGGAAGGACGAAGCCACTGTGTCAGCGTGTGGATTAATTCCCCATCGCAAGAGTGCTCTGGGCTGCTTTGTGCAGTGCGTTTGGAGAGATCTCTCAAATGACTTAAAAGTCTGATTGAGAAATACGGTTTCTTGGCCACCCAGGAGGGAGAATGTCTGTTTAGGGTTTAGGGTAGTCTGTTAGAAATATTAATGTGTTAGGGCAGCATGCTGGAAAAAGCTTCTGCACCTGCTTCAGAGAAACCTTTTAAAATACATATTACTTGCTGCCTCCAGGAATGTTCCTGTTTTACTTGAACCAAGTGTGGGATAAAACATTTGAAGCAGTTTTGGACAAAAATCTAAGTTTTCCCAGGGATGGGGTCTGTGAATCTCTCGTGCTTTCTGTCTGGCTTAACGAAACCTGAATTTCAGTTCTTCCTGAATGATGATCAGGGCCTCACCCTGGAGGAGCCCACAGGTTGATGGATCAGGTGAAAGACAAGAAATGAGCTTGCACCCCTTGAATCCTAGGTAAGAGGTCTTACATCTAGGCCCTGGCACACTGACTACAGTGGAGCAACAGAGGAGAATGATTTCCCCAACAAAGTCTCCCTGCATCAGCATCTGGCCACCACCTTGGGAGCCCTGCAGAGCTGCAGAGCATCAGCCTTGCAAGGAGGTTGGGTTTGGTACTAAAGGCTGCAGCTCACTTCCAATACCACCGGGGCAATGGGGGCTGTTGTCCTCACTTGAAAATGTTTCAGTAAAACATATAAACTTCAGATTTTTTCCTCGGAAACAGTAAAATATGCAATTGGATTGAAGTTCACTTCATCCACAGAAGATATATGACAATCTTGCTTGATGAGAGAGAGCTACATGTGTCACCAGAGAGAAAGACAGAGTGTCTGAAGAGGAGGAACCCATCCATCTTACCACCCTGACCTTTCTGATAGCCAGCTAGTAGTATGGGCAGAGCTGCACCGATCACTTTCAAAGTTTATTGCTCTGTTAGTCCTCTTTGATTGACAGATCACCTAATGGATAATAAATTACTGCCCTCCGCTTGAATTGGGGGCTGCCTGCATGTTGCTAACGCTGATGTTTCAGAACCTACTATCACTCACTCTCTGCTTTTGCAATTTAAAGGGATGCAAGTTCAGAGACAATAAATAAATACAGAGGACTGGGATTTCAAGGGTACGTGTGGGGAATTAACAGCATGGTACCCTCTGAATTTCAGGTGACACAGGCTCTCACATCCCTTGGGTCTTTTTAAAAATCTTGCAGCTTTACTTCTGTGCCTGCTGCAAACCCAGCTGCCTCTTCCCCAGGCATCTGGGGATGGGAGAGCAAAGCCCCTTTTCCTTGGCCCCTCTGCAGCTTGGGGGACCACAGCTGGGCTGGGGGGGGCTCAGCAGGATGCTTGCCTTGGATGCCTCCTGAACCAGTGGAGAAAATGTGCTCTGCAACGAGATGAATCTGAAGAAACTCCACCCAAAACCAGTGGTACCTCTGCCAAGACAGGGCCTGACTCAGCTTTTAATTCCAGCCATAGTGACTTGCTTTGGCATGCGAGCAAGCACGGAGCAGAGACTGAATAAAGACCTCAGGGTTTTGTCCATAAAAAGAAAATGAAGTGGAAACGCCTCTCTTGGGGTTGGAGAGGCCAGGATCTGTTATGGCTGCTCTGGGTCAGCGAGAGCGCTGAGAGTCAGTGACGCTTTCCTCAAGAGCCGCTGTTAGCCCCTTCACTTCCATTAGTTCTGCCACATGTCAGGTCACAATTAAAAAAAATATCCCTCTTTCACACCCACCTTCGGGCCTGGTGGGCTCGTCGCCAGCACTGGGGATAAGGCACTGCAGCTGCTGGTCCCACCGGTACCCGGGGAGCAAATACCAGAACATGTAGCTAGAAAAAGCAACAGAAAAGCTCAATTCTTACACGAGCTAGATTTTCCAAAGAGCTCTGTGCAGATGTAGCAGGACATGTTTAAATGTATTAGCAAACTGTATTCCCTAATCTTAGACCATTGCTTTCCTGAAAGATGGGGGGGATGGAAAGGCTCTGAGATTAAACATGCAATTTTGCACAGCTTTCCTGAAGGCAAAGAACCTGCCTCCTGTGCCAAGGATCTCCCCTCGGCACTGTGCTTGGGATGCTGCTGCTGAATGTTCATACAAGCCCGTGATAGCTTTAGCTAGGATTGTGGACAAGGAAGCACCTCTATAATTCTAAAGAATCTGGGGGTCAAAAGAAAAGATGTTCATCCCCAAAAAGAAACCAACACACTCACCTGGATCCAAGCTGGTGCTGCTAAAGCTACACCACTATCCCTGGGCACATGCAGCTTCTCTAAATCTCCCTGTCCTTGCCTTTTTTTCTAGGGTTCTTACATGGTGCACCAACTGCTTTGAGGCTTTAATTTTAAATTAGAAAATTAAAAGCACCAACCTCAGAGGCACCGCCAGCATGGCAGGTAGCTCCCACAGGTTGGCTCTGTCTTTTCTGACAGGTGCTTGTCTTTAGTCCCAGGGTTGTGCCTTTTCCCTACACTCTGTTTTCTCTCTAAATCCCCCTGGCTCCAGCCCCTGGTCTCTGATACCAGGTGCCATCACTATTTTACTTATTTTCAGACACAGGCTTGGGTATTCTCCAGGCAGTGAGCTTGGGGCAGAGGTGCTGACCTCTCATCTTGCTGCTCTAGAGCATCCCAGTTGCTCCTTATAGCCACCACTAGATGTCTTAATTCTTCACTCATGAAACTATAAATTTTTGGGACAGACAACACCTTTCATTGCTTTTGTGAATGCCTGCATCTCAGAAAATCTAGCCGAGTGGGGTCTGGTGCATGTCTGAATCTCCACCCCCTAAGACACTGCACATACTCCGAGCTTTCATTAAACGCACTTCTCTTCCCTCTTAACTGAGGGAACAGTGAGATCTTCAGAATGTGTTTATGAAATCTGTGTTACTTGTTCCTATAACATTTATTTTTCTCTCTCTTTGGAAAGCACAGAAGTTCACCACAGGCCCTTAGAAACACAGCTGCTGTTATTTTGCAGCTGGGTGCTACTATGTGGAGAGCATCTGAAAAGGGAGGCTTGAACATAGGAAATCAGATGCAAGTTTACATCACTGTGGAGGACAATACACGAAAAACCTGAGATGTAGATTTTAATCCAAGATTTTTAATATGAATATTTAATCCTGCAGCCTTCACAGTTGAATGGAGGTTTGGAAAAGTCCACCTATGTACAGATCTGTGAAGGACAAGACAGCACTTACTCTTGTTTCTGTCTCAGATGATGGTAAGCTGGTGGGTTACACAGCAGAGCCCATCTTTATGTCCTCGGTTTAGGAATGTGCTGTGGCTGTTCAGGAGAGCATTTATGTACACTGAACTCTAAGAGTAAGCTGAATGTTTAGCACATATTTCAGTGCTATCTTCACAGCACGGTCTATAGGCAATGTGCTCCCTTTACCCACGCTTCTTACGTTTTTGCATCCTTATATTAAAGCTTATGGCTTAAAAAGAAGGGAACTATGTTGCTTCATTTACCAGTATCAGATATTTTTACTGAGAGTAATTGCTTATCCAGAGTTCTCTTATATAAGAATTAAACACAGTATTCCATTAAAATTATTAAAAATATCTTTCTATAGCTCTGCTCTCTCCACTTCTCCTCTAATGTTCAGAATCACATAAAATAGTAATGAGCATACATAGCCTTCTGCTGTTTTCATAGACAAGGCAGTAAAAGAGACAGTTGCTGTTCCCTTGAGTGCTACCCCACGAATCAGAAAGTCTAATCAGCCACAGTGTCTGACACACTAGATAGCCCCTGTATTTCATTACTGCTATATTAAAATCTTTCCTATTTGAATTCTGTATCCTCTATTAAAAGGAGAGAGAGAGAGGTAGAAGAGATAATCAAAAGAGGGCAAGAAGAAAGGACTTGAAGAAAAGTAACTCTCTTTTAACTCCCCCAAGCCTGATGCTTTGGAATTCTGCTTCCAGTTCAAGAGCTGGTCTGAAAATACCTGGGGCAAGTACCTGGCACCCCTGGGGCTGTCAGGCAAGAGTTCAGCTTTAGTGGTCTGGGTAAGACCCAGACTGGCTTGTGCTTCTGCCTTGCAGCAAAAGCTTACTGAAAAGTAAATGAGCAATGGTGGTTTTCAGTGCTTGCACACACCACTTGCCTACTGTGCCTGTGCCTGCAATTGGATATTCAGGGTACCCCTGGTTAGGTCCGAGGTTTGAAGAGGGGCAGATGTTCTGGAGCTGCACTGGGGGTCAACGCAAAGGCAGTTCTCCTGCGAGAATCTGCTGCTGGGTGTTGCCAGCCTCTGACTGTCCACGGGGTGGATGATGCTGCACCCGCCGCCTTGCCCGCAGTGTGGCTGGTGTGCAGGTTTCCTAAAAGCAACATCTTCCAACACTCTCAGAAACAGGAGGCGCCTCTCTTTGTGCATCAGTCCACACTGATCTGTAAATTAGGCTGTGACAAAACGAATTAGATTTAATTTTGCATAGCTGTCCAATAGCATTACTACATGTGTTACTACATAATTCTTCGAATCGATAATTTGACTTTGCATGCCTGCATCTTCTGAAATTGAGAAAGATCAGTTCAATACCTGTAGGCAGCTGCTGAGAGTGGCACAGATGTATATAATATCGAACAATAGATGTCACTGTTATGCCAATAAAAATGGGTTATATTTACAGTTGTTGGTAGTTTCAACCTCCATTGCACAAATCTGCTAAGTCAAAAGTGTAAAGCCAGGACACTCACTGACACATGATACTTTTTAAAACATGAATCCTGCACTTCCTTGTGCTTTTTCATCTATCAAATTATGCATAAAAATTCTAAAATATTTTAAAAGCCAATTTAAACAAAATAAAAAAATATATTTTCCTATAGCTTTAAGCAAATAGGTCACACAAGAACAGCACCACTACCCAAGCATTACCATGAGTAGGACCAAAAGAAAAAGTGGTGTGGGAAGCTTAACTGAGGAAATATCAGAAATGGAAGTATTTCTGCTTAGACTTCATTCTTTCAGAGGGGAGGGTGGTGTATTTGCTTTCCTTGGAACGATTACATGGAACTCACCAAAAGGGAAGGACCAGGTTATAAGCTGTAGTTTGTTGAGAGACAAGAAATGAGGGGGAGGTATCACAGGCAACATTTTGGCTTACAATCCCACAAAAGCAAAGTCTGCCGAAGGAGTGAATAGGTATCCATACCTCATGTCCTATTTCAAGAGGTTCTTAACACTGCTTGAAATTGGTATAAAATTATGAAAATTAGACTCTGAACAATACAAGAAAGTCCAGACCAGCGTGATACTCCTCTGCTCAGCTGCAAGCAAGACTTATGCAGAGTCAGCTCTCAGGTGATGAACAAAACCAGTGAAGTCTAACAAATGAGAATGCATGTAAACATCAATTTCAGGACGAGACACCAGGGAAACTATGCAGGTTATTCCACAGTGGCTGTTCACCAGCTACTGTTCTGTTCCTCAATATCAAGAACACAATTCACTGAGAGAAAATGTCTGTGCTCAGTGATTTCGCTCGGCCTGTCTGTAGCCATAACACAAGAAATACAATGCTTCTTTGTGACCAGATGATTTAGTCAGAAAAAGTAGACAAGCGTTTTGGTGCACAGTGCTGTCATCAACCTGGCCCCAGCCAGTCCCAAGAAGGAGGAGGTTTCTGATTTTTTGCTTCTTGCCATGAGTTTGGAAGACATAAATTAATTGAAGTAAAACCTGTCTATAAAAATAAGAAAAGCCACACGGTAGATTTTCATCAAACCTCTTTCATCCAGAATGTGAAGGAGACCAACTATAGTTTCTGGACAGACAACACCTGAACTGCACACACGGGTGAGTGTTCTTTCAAACAAACCCAACAATGGTATCTATATAAATGCCAGTTCTTGAAGATGCAGATTTGATCACGCCTACTCGGGGAAAAAAACAGTATTACAATGAGGAGGGCAGCTCTCTCCATCCAGTTCAATGCCTGAAGGAATCACCAGGAATTTTCTTTCTAATTGCAGACAAGCCCATGCTTGCTATTTGGACAAATCTGTTTAAATCTGCATTATGATGCAGATTTAAACATGTCTGTGCTTATTTGCCTAAGTACTGCAAGGTTTGCATGTAAGGAGGATCCTTACATCTCAGTTTTCCTCTTCCCTGGTTTAGTTTTGCCTCTTCACTTGAAATCATCTCCTCACATGTCACATCCCAGTCTCTTGCTGAGGAAATGATTAGGAGGTCGCAAGAAGAAGGATGATTCAATATAGAAGTAGAAACGAGAGAAAACTTCAAGGAACAATCCGAGGAATAACAACATTGTTTCCATCACATATTCCTCGTAGCGTTAAAGGAGAGAGAGAGACAGAATACCAGGTGAATTGCTTCAAAACATAATGTCTTCCAACAGACCCTATGAGATATTACCAGCTTCTGTAGAAAAATAAAAGGAAAATAATACAAATGCCTCATAAATCATAGCTGAGGTGCATATTTCAAAGATTCATGGGATTCTGATACAAAGTAGGAAATGGTATGGTTTGCAATGTCAAGTTGCCTGATAGCACAGAGGAATTTCAGCCACAGGCTTTCACAGCTTGGGAAATGTAGGTATTAAACCTCAGTACTTTACATGTACTTTTATAGCACCAAGATAAAGCATGCTCCTGGACACAATGACATCGAAAATGCAAAATCTTAGCATCTGTGGAAGTACAAATATTGATGTGCATCACTAAACATATGTTGCTGACTAAAGCTATTATTAGCGACAACAGTCATTCTTACTCTGGAAAATCCCAGTTGCCTTGGGCTTTGTCTGAGCAGAAACCCAGAGAAAAATCTGAATAAAACCCTGCGTTAGCCTCATGATAACAGGCTGAGCTGTAATACTCAGATAATAATAAAGCCAAAAATACAGGGCTAAATTCAGCCATGCTTACTTGATGCTAAATTGAGCAAATTGCATACCGCCTGCTGCAGAGGCAGGACCAGAAGGTGTCTTGTTCTCCCAGATTGCCTTCGCAGGGTACAGATTATTTTGATCCATTCATTACAGCTCCCATTTCGACTGGCACCTCAGAACTGAACTGGAAACTCCAGATGCTGCAGTTTGGGATGCTGGGGGCTCCTGCTGGGACTGAACCTCACTCGTGTCCTATGGCACAAGGCACGCAGCTACCAGCAGCAGGTCTTGTGCCGGCCTCTTCCACCCGGCTCCCGCTGGCACCTTCCCACAGCCGCGTGGGGCCACTCCTGTCCCAGCCTCCGGCGTTCCACAGCTGAGCTCTCCTGAAGCCACATCAAGCTGTGGCTTTCTGGGCCTGAGCTCAGCCCCTTATGTCATTCCCCTGGACTTCCACAGAAACAGAGCCAAATAATGATGTCTTCAAACTGTCAGCAAACCACCTGGTTATCAGAGGTACTGAGAAAAGGGTTTACCTTTGCACAGGCTTGATCACAAATGCCTGAGCCATGAAAAGTTCAAGCAGAGTTGTACTGCCAACGTCAAACTCTTAAACATCCTATTTCTGGTTCCAGAATTCACAAGATTAACTTTCTGTAAATATTTTTTGCAGCATGGTCTTTCAGTCTAGAAGCATTCAGATTGTACCTTTCCAAGTTTTTTTTTTCTGCTACCAAGAAGTCTAAAAGATTAATTAAACACCACCCCCCCACCCCCAATTATGATTCCAACCAATTAAATAATTCTAGAAGGTACAAGAAGAATGAAAAAAACCTCCATTTTGTGAGATATGGGAGGTGCCAATGCTGGCAGAAATTCTGAAAGATTGTAAGATACATGCAACAATATTATTGCCGACTGCCTGGTATGGAGAGTCACAGCTAGAGAGGCAGTTTGAACAGGAAGAGCAGATGGGAAGGCAAGTGGATACGAGAACAGAGGGCAAAGCAACTGAAAGTTTCAAAAAGCAAGTGGATGAATCAATTTTATTTTTCGGCTGATGTCTATATTATGGGTTGGACTGTCCTGACTACTCAAGGGAGCATATGGGCATTCGGTTGCTTTAGACTGAGGGAATTCAAACCCTTGAGGACTGCCCAGGGAGAACATGCAAGAGTTGGAACAAGCGATAAGGAAACCTAACACGGAGTTCAGCAGAGTTTGAATCAAGCTATGGAGGCACTGCAGCACTGCTCTGACTAAATTAACTGGCAAACACTACAGAAGTGTGGAAAATAAGAAACTATTTTACAGCCAAAGCTGTTCCAAGCTCAGAACTAGGAAGGTAGCAGCTGGAAAATTAGACCAACGTATATATGTCTGTCTGTTTATCTGTCTATTGTTGCAGTGGGAGCTACTATCACTTGTTGACAGAGAAGGTTCTGAGCGTGTATATTCAGTCTTTATGAAACACTGAAGTCAAGAAGCAGCATATGAAGTATTGTGGTGGTGGTGGGTGTTTTTACTTAGAGCACCTAAGCATTGTGTCTCATAGCAATGAAATTTCCCCTAGAAATGACACAGGTAGAAAGAGGACAGGTTTAAATCCTCGCAGCATAGCAGAATAGCGGTATTTATGGTTAATTATTGGGTGTTAAATGATTAGATTTAGCCAGGTTCTATTTATACAATGGTTGCTTTTCTTGTTCATTCAGCTACAATAAGTTATAAACAAAAACGCATCCCATAAAAGTGTTTCAGTTGTTTAACAGGCTAAGTCAATGGCTGACATTGCTAAAATTAATTAGGGATCTTTATTTAATTAACATTCATGGTCGCCAGAGCAATGCAAACCTAGAACCCTGCACGCTTATGTGATGCTTTGGCCAGCAAAAATGACAATGAATTTCCATTGTATCTGTGAACCTTTATGGGTTGGGCTCTATGCACACATGCAAATATGCTTAAACTACAGTTCCAAACCCACAATACGAAGGGGTATTCTGTGACTACAAACTCATGGAAAACAGATAGAAGTCATGCTTAAAGTCCAGGTAATAGGAAGAAAGGTTCTTCACTCTCTACATACACAGGATTTATGCTTAGAAAACAAAGGAAAATATGCAAATGAAGATCGGCAAAGAAGGAAAAGAGGTTAATCAACACTTCATGTAACCAGAAAAATGGGAAAAAAGGCTAATTTAGTTAATTCCTTTTGCATCTGTTTTAGAAAGCAGTAGGGTGTGCTCATGAGTCACCTGCTGAACTTCGTTGCAAACAGCCTCCTGAATGGGTGAGTATAAACAAAGAGAGAATAAAATTCATTTTCCTACTCACTGCAAACCATCCTGCCCCGGTATGACTTTGTTCCAGCTCATTAAAACTGTGTTTCTAGAACAGTGCCCAACTCAATTAATTCATATCCCTTTTTGCCAAAACAGTTCATGCTCATGATTTATAGCTAACGCATGGCCACAGCATGTGAACAGCAGGAACTTGGACCTGGAGTAAGGACCACAGGCAGCCAAAAGAGTGACTCTATCATACGCCTTGTGCGGAAAACACTTTCTACACCCAGCTAAAAGGGAGACTGCTAGATAGTCCCAGGCAAGAGACCATGGAGGCAGTGTGCTTTCACATCCTTACCCCATGGTGGGGTACCTGGGCTTTACAGCCTGCTGCCCTGCTATGTCCAACACCTCAAACACAAGAATGCAAGAGAAGTGCCAAGGAAGGAACCTCAAAGATGTTTCTTTTCAGAAAGGAGAAAACCCTTTCATGGTAAATCCCTGCTGGAAACAACACACTTTTATCTAAATCTGGCAAGTAGTACCTATGTCTCACTGCATCTCTGAACACTACAAACTGCTGAAACTAGAAATACCAAACCAAGCAGGATGCCAATAAATAAATGCTTGTAAAGTGCACTGAAGCTGAAAAGCACTGCATATTATAATTAGAAATGACCAGCATTTAAACAATGTTTGGTGTCTCACAATTTCATCACTGAAAAGAAATTTCTGGCTTGGTTGAAAGACTGCTGAGGTTCTTCTGGTGGTTTGATCAGATTTCAGATCAGATGTTTAAAATGTTCACTAGCATACACTGGTGGATGGGACAAACAGGCAGAGAGAGCTCAGATGGCATGAGGAAATGGAGGGAGATTATAATCAATTAATTAGGCATGATTTATACACTTTAATTTATTCCACTTATTTGTTATCCTTTCAATATTTTATATTAATTTCCAAATTGAATAATAAGCATAGATATGTGCCTGATGCTTTAACCTCCCTACCAAGAGCAGTTTTTGCAGAGCTTCCCATCAGGAGTGATGCTCCAGTCTGGGGCTGCTGCTATCGCACTGATACGCGCTATCAGATAGCGCTTTGTTGGATGCAGCTTTTCTGACCCTTGATCTGGCAAATCTCCTCTCATCAGGCCTCTGATACAGGGCACTGACTCCCCTGCTTCCCTCTGCAAACCTTGCAGGCATATCTTCTCCCCACCGGTCAGGCAATTGCCATGATCTTTAGCCTGATTTTTATGAAGGCAGGTTCCAGCATCTTTTTCTTTTCATGTCTCATGAGAACATAGTTAAGAAAGAAAGATAGAGAGAAAGAGAAGGGGAAAAAAAGTGAGCTATGCTATAAAAAAGCCACTGCTTATGCCATGACAAAATAACCCGCATTTCCCAAATGTATCATGCTCAGAAATGACAGTGCTTTGCACTCCAACACCTTTTTAAATCACTCAAAATGCCTCCTACCCTGGGAATGCGACTTTCATTTTGGTACAGTTTGACACAACCCTGGAGCAGGCCCCATCTAGGGAGGTACATATATATGTGTGTGTGTGTGTGTGTATATATTTTACAGGCATAAGGAGGAAACCTGCTCAGATGAGGTGAGATACATTTTCTGTAAATTCTTGCCTTTTTCTACACGTTAGATCCTCACAACTGCACAATTTTACTTTCTACCGTGAAAAATACCTGGAAACAAGACTGTACTATTTTCCTACATGTCTAACCCACTATTTTCAAGGAAAAAAAAACCCCGATCAGAATATCCTTGCAGACACTATTTAAGATTTTTAAAGTATTTGAGTCACTGGGCAGTCGACGCAGTGGCATCATAACAGCTCTCATTTTGCAGGAGTTTCAGGTCCATGGGTCTCCAGCACAGTTTATGATGTATGGGATCTCTTCATGCAGCTCGGGTTGCTGCTCTGTTCTTCTTTGCAAAGAGCTGACTGGAATAATCTGACTTTTTCTTGGATCTCGGTCAGGACGACAATTTTTTGACCCAGGACTGATTCAAACTGTGCAGCATAAAAATCTATATTGTGGTCCATTTCCCCAGACACTTCTAAGAATACTTTCAAGCACTGCAGAGATTCCCAATGCTTCTCCAGAAGTGTTTTCCCACCCACCTCTTTTCTGTGTTTTCCTCCCACTGAAAGCAAATAACGGGGGGGGTGTGGGGTGTGGGGGGTGTGTGGAAGAACTTGCCTTATGCCTGAACCCCAAGATGGCATGGCTCTAGGAGGAGTGAGTGTGGCAGAGGTCTTGGCCTGACATGCGACACTCGCTACCCATTTTGATTAGCTTGATGACATCTTCCACGCTGGTGACTTCTTCCTCCCACAGCCCCACCACTTGGATCTGCCATTTACCACCTTGCAGCGCTCTCATCTGCTTCTTCCAGTTCAGAAAGGCAAACGCTTTCCTCCCACAAATCTCAGAGAAGGTCCTGTAGACTCAAAGCTCCAGTTCCTGGCAGCTGGGGTCCTGTAGCCTGTAGAAGGCATCCTGGGCAACCAGGACGCAGATTCCTTTGGAGGACTCAGCATTCTTAATAAAGAAACTTCTCCTCATGGTATGTGTCTTGCTGCTGCCTGTCTGGCCCCAGGCAAAGCAGGTTGCCATGCTCCCCTGGAAGATGGTCTCCACCAGGGCTGGGTGGTGTGCCTGTACACCACCTCATTGGTGGCACAACCATCGAAGGCATAGTCAAAGCGGAAGACCTGATTGTCCAGGTACTATGTGAGGTCCAGCCTCTGCTTAGCTTCATGCACCATCAATATGTCCTGGCAGGACACTGACACCACACTGAAGTTGAGCTCAGCCTCCTGTTGGTTCAGTGGCCGCTTCTGAACACACACACAGACGCGATGGGGCTGCCATGGTGTGGTGGCCCCGAGTGCCTCCCAGTCCGGGTGGCTGCTGCACTTCTCAATCATGGCCATCACATCAGTCCTGAGGTGAAGCAGTGGCCAGCTGGGCTTGCTGCTCCTGCATCTCCAGCCACCAGTGTTCCCACTGTTCTCACAGATGTTCTGCCTGCCAGACACATGGTGATGTCCATCTAGGTCTGCAGCCCCTGGAGCCAGGTCAGGCAGCCATGGGGCCCCTGCTGTCCCCAGATAACTTCTCCACTTTGATGGGCTATAAAACAGCCGTTCACTCACCAGGCTCAGGTCCCTTTTTGCTGTCAGTGGGGCCTCGATGCTGGTCACGGAGATGCTCCTTGGGGCTAGGTGAGGTTTGAGAGCAAAGATGAGCTGGAGATCCACCTGCTTGCTCTTGTTGGCCTCTTTCTTGAGCCACTCCACGGTGATGCTGAAAGTGCTTTCATGGAGCTCCGTCACCAGTGCCGGGTAGATGCACCCATTGCTGCACTTGATCTCCACATAGGTGCCCAACTGGATGTGCCCAACCTTCCCAGCCATGCTGTCCCTAAGCGCTGGCCACAGCTGGGGGTGGAGGAATCCCCCTGGCTGGGGCAGGCAGAGCTGGAACTTGACCCTGGCCATGGAGGTCCCATGGGGCTCAGCACTACCTGTGCTCAGCACGGTGTCACACTGGCCCCAGTGGCCCCTGGGAGGCTGTGGAAGGGCTTCAGCTTCAAGGTTGAAAATATACAGATGTTTTTAATCGCCTGCTATGGGTGGAAGGAACACAGAAAGCTGCCATCACCTGAAAAGGCCTATTTGAGTTTCCAGGCTGGCGCGCAGCTGCTGTGACACATCGTGTCTAATTAGATCAGTCACGATGTGTTAAGCTAATGCCAGTGACACAAGAATTTATAGCAGTGACACAAGCGCAGAGACTCCAGAGAGCCTTTTTGTCCTGCAGTGACCACACAAAAATGCAGAAAACAACACGTTGTTTTCAATTACCTTGAACATAAATTTTGAATTCTTTTAAAGGGCTTTGCATGCCTTGAAATCCCACTTGAGAAATAATAGGCTTAATAGAAAATGAATGAAAAATAAAGAGCTGCAGCGCGAGTGCAGTGGGTACATCTGCATTCACAAGGAAGAATTTTATATCATTTTGATAACCGGAACAGCTGATGAGATTTTTAATCCATTTCTACAATGCTTTTCAGTAATCTGGATTTCTGAATAGAGAATTTCAAAGTTCTGGCTACAGGAAAATCTTTTTAACATCTTGTATTACATAAGAGTTTTGGTTCATTTTGGATGGTAGATTCAAGACCTCCAGTGATGAGGACTGTTATTTACAAAAATATTCAAATGATATGGCAGCCTTAGGAAGAATGCTTGCATAAATAGTGGTAAACTTACATAAGCTTGAAGCAAATAAAACCAACTAAGAAGGTTTATTTTAGAAAATAATTATCTCCATTTGTTCTTGCCTTTTGACTGGTAACTTAAAATGATGAATTCATGAAGTCTGAGATCGCCAATACTTAACAATAAGAAGAATCTTGGATGCCCTTATTTACCAACCCTCCTGTGGAGCCAAACCACCAATTAAAGTGTGTTATAATTTCTTGAAGGAGAACAATTAATATTCACTTTTCTTTTTGTCTGGAGAGGTAGGCACCATGACTACTGCTGCTTTCAGCTCCTTGTACTTGACTAAATCCTCATGCCTTTTAATGTGATTTAAATGTAATTAAAAACTTTTTTTTTATGTGGGGAAATTATGTCACTGTTATAGAGAGATCTAGTTCTTGGTCTCCATCTGAAAAATGCCAGCCTGCAGAGTAGTAAAACAGCACCAACTTGTTGTCTAGATCTGGAGATAGAAGCCTGCCATCTACACTGTTAGATAAGCTTGAAGAAATACAGAGTGCCGGGGATATAGGGTAGAGCAAAGCTGTGATTTTAAAGGCTTGTTCAGCTTTCCATGACAACGTTGTCTCTCTTAGCACGAGTCCTTGCTCAAGTCCTTTTGTCAGATCCAGAGGTCAGAACACCCCGGAGCAGGCTGCGGCAGATCCCAGGAATGGGCCAGAGGGATATGATGAAATCTATCCTTGCGGCAAACTGCCTTTTCTGTTTAAATGTTTGGAGAACTTTTTAGAATCTCAGATGGGCATTAGAGTTCAGTCAAGCTTTTGCATGAGGAATTTGACATTCGCTCTTGGATAGTTTAACAACTTTTATTCATCTGACGTTCCTAGAGGGTACATATGCTGTAACATGTGCTCGTGTAACTCTGCAATCATACCCACCAAGCTGTGTAAGCAGTTGCTCATCTTGGTTTTAATTAGTGATATCGTTGTTAGGAGAAGATGACTCAATTTCTTAAAAGTATTGAAATAGCCCCAAATAACCATAACACAAATCTAATTTGGGGAGTGTTACTAGGCTTATTACAGCAGTGCTCAGAGAAAGATGGGTTTTTAAAGGAGCCCAACTGTTTGAGGGCTGCCACCGAATTTCAGTTAGATCAAGATTCATTTCCCAGTGCTCTTAGAATACAAATTTTCAGCCCAAAGAAATACTGAAGAAAAACAGGGGACATCCAAATACCGTCAGTTGTACATTCCCTCTATAGAAAAGGGAATACAACCTTTGTGTGGGGCCAGGATAATTTCAGGTAAATAAGACAACAGCATTTCAAGCCCTCTGACCCAAAAAGGGGCCCAAGACGTCAGTATTTCTCATGGTTGGACCATACGCTAAGTAAACAAAAAGACAAAACTTGTTACATATTGGTTTATTTACAAAACCTGCAAATTGCCGATGGTGTTAACTTGCCAAAAAAATAAACTCAAAAATTATGCTATTGATCAGGCACAATTTTTTGACCAGTTTTAGAGAAGCGTTGTGGAAAACGTAAATATCCAAATATGTGTTTTAAATACGAATCTCCCATGAGACAAAACATCAAATCAGCTTTTTTTATAGCATTGTTGCAAATTGACACCCAGCAGCTGTTGAGCTCATTAGATCGCACCAGGCTTCTCCGCTTGCCTGGCACAGCCTCACAACCTGAAGTTGATTTAGTTCTTTGTGAGCTCAGCCTACATCCCAGCCCCTCTTTCACAGTAAGCGCTCATCAATTGTCCTTTCTTAAACAAACCACTAACTACTCTTTACTGAGAGCCCATCTGTTGAAATTCGGGTATTTCTGTAACAATAAGAATGTGCTTGGATCTACCAGCAAGTTTGGTTTTAGAAGAGATAGCTTCGATTTTCAGGTCCTATATGTAATGATAATGGCTGACCTGTCATTAGCCCAGGGATTTAACATTTTAATGGGGAATGGAGCAGCCTGATTTTCGGAGGCTACAAATAATTGCAGAGCTCAGTCAGTTCTGCTTCAGGTATTCATCACAGTGACTATTAAACCTCGGTGCTCAAAACTAGAGCATACCTTCCAAAATGGCAATATTGTTCATCTGCTTCAGTCATTTATATAAGGGATTCATCCTTGTGAGAAATCTCCTAAAATATGGATGATCAGACCCTTGTTTTTGTAGAGATTTCAGCTGCCTCTGCACTGGAAAGAGTTGCCACTGGGAGAAAACTGAACAGGGGGTTTCTGCAGAGATTGTGACAGGAAAATACAGCGGCTAACAACTGACAAAGCAACTAGAAGTAAACATTTCAAACGCACTCATATCTGATTATTTCAATCAATTTAAAATAACCCTTTCCCCCCCTTTTCTGATGCAAGATCTTCTTGCTGTTTAAGACTCCAGGATCCTTAGTTGAGGTGTGACCCCTGTTATGTCTGATTATTTGCTCTTGCATCTTTAAAAAATATTTGCATAGGGCTATTTTATAATTCTAAGACAACACCCAAGCCTGTGAATTATAGTGCAGTAATTCACACCTGCTGCATTTAACAGCTCTCAGCTTTAAACCTTACTCTAACAGCACCATCTTGTGAAATATTGCACTATAAGTCACTCCCAGAAGCGCCTTGCTGCTCCCTCTTCATGTTGGCATCTAATTGCTGAAGTAATCATGTGTGATTTTGTACACAAGAGAACTAAAATTTATGCAAGCCCCTCTTTTATAAATAATATGCTTTTAAAAAAGAGAAAAGACTGTACTTGGCTTGAGATTACATGTTTTAAACTCAGACAAATATTAATGGGTTTGATGGCCATGCATTTACAAGCAGCTTTTATCATCCACCACAGATGGGGAAAGTGAGAGATTAAACCAGCACTATGATCAATTAACCAGTAGTATTAAAAAGAAGTGTGAAATCCTCTTCATAAGGTGCAAAGGTGCCTGCCTGTGCGTTGCCTTAGAGAGGTGCTTAAATCCTTGACAAATGTGGAATGTCACGGCCACAGCCCTAATTTAAGTGAAGGGGAACCATCTGCTCCCACACCGACCCTGTGATACCAGGGCAGTTCCCTGTGCCAACCTGAACGCACGTAGAGACCAAAGGTGCCCTTCCAGTTCTCCTAGCCAAGCACCATCTTAAATCAGGACCCAACGGAAGAGGATGTTTGCACATTAATTTCATCTGCTTTACAGATCCCAAGTCGTAAATTATTATGAAATTACTGCCTCAGTGCTCCAACTTCCCTGCAGTGTCCTGGAGTACATATCTGGACAGAAAAGGCTGAATTGTTATCACAGAATGGTTTGGGTTGGAAGGCACCTTGAAGATCATCCAGTGCCAACCCCCCTGCCCTGGGCAGGGACACCTTCCCCCAGCCCAGGTTGCCCAAAGCCCCGTCCAACCTGGCCTTGAACCCTGCCAGGGAGGGGGCAGCCACAGCTTCTCTGGGCAACCTGTGCCAGGGCCTCACCCCCCTCACAGGGAGGAATTGCTTTCTTAGATCTAATCTAAACTGACCCTCTTTCAGTTTAAAACCATCACCCCTCACCCTATCCCTATACCCCCTGATGAAGAGTCCTTCCTCATCTTTGCTGTAGCCCCTTGTAGTCCTGGGAGGCTGCTCTAAGGTCTCCCCAGAGCCTTCTCCTCTCTCAGCTCAACAACCCCAACTCTCTCAGCCTGTCCTCACAGGGGAGATGCTCCAGCCCCCTCATCATCCTCGTGGCCTCCTCTGGACTCGTCCCAACAGGTCCATGTGTTTCTTACACTGGGGGCCCCAGAGCTGAACGCAGCAGCACTGCAGGTGGGGTCTCCCGAGAGCAGAGCAGAAGGGGACAGTCCCCTCCCTTGACCTGCTGCCACACTTCTCTGGATGCAGCCCAGGGTACGGTTGGCTTTCTGGGCTGCGAGGGCACATCGCTGGCTCAGTCAGTTTTCCATCCACTAATAAATCCCCCCAAGCCCTTCTCTGCAGGGCTGCTCTCCATCCACCCCTCGCCCAGCCTGTAGTTGTGCTTGGGATTGCCCCAGCCCACGAGCAGGAGCTCTCACTTGGCCTTGTTGAACTTCTCGAGGGTCGCACAGGGCCGCCTCTCCAGCCTGTCCAGGTCCCTCTGGATGGATCCCTTCCCTCCAGCGTGTCGACCACACCACACAGCTCGGTGTG